ACCCCCTACCACCCCCAGCCCCCACCCCCCAAAAAAAAATTAAGTTTATTTTTAAAAAATATTTTCAACTTCAAAATTTCAATTTTTCACCCATACCCTCGACTCCCTACCCCCACCCCCCAAAAAAAATTTAAGTTTGTTTTAAAAAAAAAATTCAATTTCAAAAATTATTTTCTACTCTAGTAAAAATAAAAGATATTTCTCAAAAATATTTTTTCATTCATAAATCAAACACTAAAAATCTTTTTCGGAAAATATTTTCTACTCACCAACCAAACATGAGAAAATAAGTCAAAAATCAACTTGTTTTCCAGGAAAACATTTTCTAGGAAAACATTTTCCTTCATACCAAACACACCCTAAATATAACCACAAACTGAAAAAATATAAAAGGTGCATGGAGCAACTTTAACAAAGGGTTTAAAAAAAATTAATCAATCTTCTAACGTAAAGTAAGCTGAAGGGACCCAAAAGTTTGTATATATCTGAACTAAATAAAATATTTTCAATATCTATGCGGTATGATTTTCCTATGCGAAGGAAATTCAGTCGAACCCTTCATTGTTTATGAGTTGTCTATGATGAGTTAAATAGACAAAATATATATACTAAAACTATGTTGCTTTCGTTATGTGGAAATTTTCGTATCTCATTGTTATATATGCGCATTTTTAGAAAAAATAAAATCAAATCAAGATTCGGATTTCATATTTCACTAGCTAGAAATATTACTTCAGCCACCCTATAAGGCTATACTATAATTTGGCCACTAACGTACACTACAATAAAAAGGATATTTAATGGCAAAAATAATTTTTTAGGGATAATTATATAATTATTGCTAAATCATTTATTTGTCGTATGACGTAGGCTATAAGATAACTTTTTCCTTGAATGTATATATAGCTAGTTTTTTTCATCTAATAAATAATCAATTTTTTTGTTTTTGTTTTTAGAAAAGCACCACAGCTCAATGATAAAGGAGTTCAAAAAATCAAAGCCAAGGAAAATGCCTTATATGACTTGGAATATATACTCCTGTAAATATCTTGGAGACTAATTAAAGCAACATATCAATACTAAAGAAGGCAGAAGGGAACTCTGGAGAGATTAAAGACCATAATTGAAGGAAGAGAGTTTTATTATTCTTCTAATTTAGTTTAACTTTTGGTTATTAGTGGCACAATAATCAATGAAGTAAGATAAGAATTCCCAAGTACAAATCTGATTAGTGCGAGGCAAAAACAGTAGGTAAGTTCAGAGGCGTATCTAGAGGGGGTGCCGTGGGTTCACGTGAACCCATGCTCCCCTCTCTAGATCATGTATAGTAGTGTTATATTTTTAAAAAAATATTTAAATATAGATGTGTGAACCCATGTTCAAAGTATATCATATATTAATGCGATGATGATTGGGTGCACCTCTCTAAGTAAGGATATAAATTTAAATCTTATATCTATCTTGTCTCTGTGAGTAACACCTTTCCAAATGGTTATCGGTTACACTTTTGACGTTTCAACTAATTTTGCTTTTGTTTTTTTCCTTTAATCTTTCAAAATTTTCAAGTGTGTTACATTGAAAATTCCTAAAAAATTTAACATTGTAAATTTTTTATATAATTAAATCAAATGTGTATATTAAAATTTAAAACTAGTAGTATTATACATTTTGAATCTATAATTTTTAAAATTTAATGGTTCATATACGAACTAAAAGTCAAATTGATCAAATTTATATTTAAAATATATTTTTTCGTAATCGTGCACCCATCTAGCCGAAATCCTGGATACGCCTCTGGATATGTATAAGGATGAAGTGAAGAGTTGGAGAAGCCAATTATCATATTTGCAATAGTTATTTTCTTTAGCATGTAACTTTGTTTGATAAACATGTGGAAAGAATTTAATCAAGAAATCATCCATAGCAGAAACTCCTCCTGAAATACCAATATCGTAACCAAACATCAATCCACCAAAAGCAGCAAAAATCCAACAAGACATCACATATAATGTGATCTTAGAATTATTCATCTTAACGTTCAACTATGAAATATATTTTTTCCTGAAGAAAGATATTTTATTTATAAGCTTATGAACTCTCTACTATTTGTTAATAGAAAATAGCCAGCAAACTACGTTTATTTATAATGGTATAAGACCTAATTTAGGTAGGATTAGAAATTCTAATCCTATATTATTTAGACTAAAGTTTTATTAGTCCATTCTTTTTCGTAAAGTTTTATATATTTAGCACAATATTACCGCTTTAAACATCATTGTTTCAATTGGAATACTAGAAGGATAAGGAAACTATTTAGGTAATTTTTTTTAGGAAAGGTGTGATATTATTTCAATTCCTATTTTCTTGTAATTTTATTTGAATCTATTGAAATTTTCTCTTTATTTTTTGCTTATATTTTTTTGTGTCTTTTGGTAACTAGACGTGTATAGGCCTAAATAGTAATTATCTGTAAATTAAGACCCTTGATTTTTTAAGTGTTAATGACATTCGTAGATATAATTTCAAAATGAAAAGGAGTATAAGTAAAGTGATCACGATCTAGATTGAGATATAAATAGTTATTATTGTTGTATCGAGTCATGATGTGCAAAGCCTCGTTTCGAAATATGGTTTTGATTCCCGCTTTAGGGTTCAAAAGTTGACATTCTTTACTTGAGTTGGTGGTTAAAAACATACTTAAAATATCTGATTTTTGAGTTTCATGTCTGATTTATCACCAACACTATTTATCAAAAACATGCATCAACTATAAGTTGTTCCATTTTCCTAGTGTTTTTGGGAACAATTGATGAAAGTTGATGTATATATAATTTGATAAATAGTTGAGATTAGAAACTCGTATACCTGATAGTACTAGAATTTTCTTGTAGATATTCTAGAGTAATCGTGCACCCATCTAGCCGAAATCCTGGATACGCCTCTGGGTAAGTTCTTTTCATTTGTCCAAGCATCAACACACAAACTTGCTCAGTATCTATACTTGATAAAAGGTAGCAGACACTCAATAGAATTAGTCAAGTCACACATAAACTGGTCAATATATAAACTTGAGCTCTTCACCTAGCTGAATTTTCCCTCCATCTCCATATATTTAACCTAGTAATATTCTTTTTCAGATGGTAAAGATTATTTTTTATCACGTATTAGTAATACTCAAATTCTCATTCATATATATAATAGGGGAAATTACGCGGATAAGAACATATATATTTGACATAGCTATAGTTTGAATTAATTAATTACGGCTCGCAACTTAATTTTAGTTGTAATTACGTCGCTTATTTATATATACAAATACATTATATATATATATATACACACACAATTATATATATGACATATATACAAATACAATTAACCGCTCTCCACTCTCTACCCTCTCTCGCTCGCCTCTCTCCTCCCCCTCCTAATCTCGCTCGCCTCTCTCCTCCCTCTCCCGATCTCGCTCTCCAGATATACAAATATATATATATATATATACAATTATTTTACAGATATACATATACAATTCGTCTCTCTCCACTCTCTTCCCTCTCTCGCTCAACTCTCCCAATCTCGCTTGCCTTTCTCCTCCCTCTAACATGTAGCTATGAATCGTAATTAGCAAACTATATGCATGAAGCATAATTGAGTTATTTGAGTTGTTATATGTGAAAATTCCCATATAATAGCCCGCATAGTAACTTTTTTTTTATATAAAAAGTATCATTCTTTTAACAAATATTCAACGATTAAAATATTTTATTCATAATAAATAAAATTTATATTTCAAACTGGAGCTTATTTAATCGGTTCCTTCATCTAAATAGTAAAAAAAAATTGAAAAAAATAAATTATAACTACTCAGTGATAGAAGAGTCCACACACCTTATCAGATAAGGTGGAATAAATAAAAGTTGATTGATGCTGAATAAATTAGGATCCATCCAAAATTACTCCTTTTACCCACACCCATCAAAACTCATGCAAAGGAAAATGACTTATAATATGACTTCGAATATATACTATACTCCTTGTAAATATCTTGTCGATTAAAGCATTACATATCCAGCTAAAAGAACAAGTTCTTTCGAAAAGCTGTAAAAGCACAAATTAAAGTATACATTCACACTGGTAAAGCTAGAAATTTTGTTAAGAATGTCCAATATTTTAATATATATATCTCTAAAAACTTGTTTGATCTGTATATTATATATATAATGTTATTTTTTATTTGTACAGTATAATTTTTTGACGAGAGTGTTCGAGTGATTACCTTCGGATGGATCAATGTAGCTAGGCCACTTTATATCTATACACATATACGTGTTTAGTTAAGGGGTCAATCAAATCAAAGTTTTTTTTTTTTTTTTTACTTTATTCCTTTTATCATTAGTTATATATATGCATGTATTAAAATATAGAAGTTGCATGCGTAAAGAAGAGATAGATATGGTTTCAATTGATAAGTTGTACAAATTAGTACTATTGCTTATTTTAGCAACCGATATTAGTGTCGTCAAATCGTCGAGTAATTTGGCAAATGGACCTCAGCTGCCCCTTCCAGACGTAGAAGGTAAAGTTTATATATAGCTTTTCTAAATCGAAGCGCAATTAATTATATACACATCGTACTATTTAAAGAGCGCTCTAATAAATGAGATCTTACTTTTCTTTTTAATTTTATTTGACAGTTAGGGCAGTCGAGGCATTACGTAAACTTGCAAAGGGGAATGACAAGTTCTGGTATCAACAATGTGATAACAAAACTATTATATGTGGCAACTGTAATAAAACATTTTGTCATGTTACGGAATTGTACGTCTTTTCTTACGTACTATTTATTTCATTTTGATTTGGTCATGAATTATTCTTAAGAAAGAACAAAATGAAGTACACATTTTATCATAATATAGCTATATTATTTATGTATAGTCTTACTATATTTGGAAAATGATTAATTAATATTAAGGATTTTTTTGTATTTTGATTTTCTTTTGACATGTTAAAGTGCAAGACGGAGCCAGATCGATTTAATTAGTTTGTGAGTTCTAAACTACAGTATAAGTTTTTTGTTAACTAGGTTTTGAATAAATTATTATTTCTATAATTAAATTAAATGTATTCCTTGTAACTGAAATATATAATTTTAGTTAATGTTGTTTACTGGATTGTATCGAATCCGTAGCAACTATTGTGGCTCCAGAGGTACTAATGTGAATCAAGTAAAAGAAAAAACTTTACAACTTCCAAAACTGTACGTAACCCTTTGAAACTTTTTATTTTTTTTATTTTTTTTAATTTTGTATAGGACCTCATATTTCATACATTTTCTTTTATTTGAATATGATTGTTAAGTATATTATTATTATTAATTAATACATATACATTATTAATAACAATTTAGAAGGGCTATTAGGTTATTTAGTTTTTATATTTAGGGGTCCTATTTTTAATATAATGCAATATAAATTTATTTTTTCTAAATAGTTTGACTTACTTGAAAAGATATTTTTCAAAAAACATATTTTCGTCGAACCAAACACATATGTAATGTGTCGTGATTCTAAGATAGACTGATAGAGGGACTAAAAATGTTGTCAGATCAACGTAATTCAAAATTTTAAATTTGTCAAAAGAATTGTCTTTGATTGATTATATATTTTCCATAAATTAATTCCTTCTTGTCCATTGGAATTGTTAACACAATATTTAAAAATTTGCAGATATTTATCAGGGAACAATTTATACGGGAGAATACCACAAGAAGTTGGAAATCTTTCTCATTTAACAACATTGTGAGAATTAATGTTTATTTATCTTTCTCTTCAACGTGCTTTTCATCTTAATTATACTTCCTCGGTCTCTTTTTACTTGTTATTATTGACAAATAAAAGAAACACAATATTTTTTTACTTATTATATCCTCAATTTATTTAGAGAGTTAGTGTTTTTGAACAATGTAGAACCTGAGTAAATTGATTTTGAAATTCTATTAATTAATAGGAATAAAATTGTAAACTCACTATGTCAATTACCATTTTGTTAATAGGTGTGTCAAATAAAAAATGAACCAGTAAAGAAGGACAGATGGAGCATTATACTATTATAGTTTGATTTAACAAGCCAATTAATTAGTGGTTTAATATACATCATATTGATAATGATCAGGATGCTTTGTAAATGGCTAGATAGCATATATTGCCAGTATTGCTTTAATTCGCTGCTTTTTTTGATAAGAAAGAACAATACGTACAAAGGATCACTAATTATTAAATGATTATCCATGTGATTTAAATATTTATAAGTTCAAAATTAAAAAAATAAATTATGTGTTAAAATATTTGCTTGAGTGTCAGAATCAAGGATTATGGGTTCAGATCATTATAAATTCAAATTCAAGGAACGCTTTGTGGAATTTAAACATCCATAAGTTCTTGCATGCTCTAAGCTACGTTATTTTTGAATTAAAATTGTGACTATATTCGAGAAAATGATCAAAATGGTCTTGAATCTATGGGAGTTGGACTAGCTATTTTAGTCCTTCCTTCCTATATATATATATATATATATATATTGGAAATGGTCCTTAATGTATGAAAAAATGACCATTTTAGTCCATATATATTATGTAATCAACATATATAGTCCTTAATGTATGAAAAAACATGACTATTTTAATCTTTTATTTTGATCCTGATCTTATTGTATGAAAAATTATCATTTCAGTCCTAAACCTTAAAGGTAATCATGCAAGTACAAAAATATGTTTAAGTTTTAATATCAATAATTAACGTATAATATTTTTGCCTTTGAAACTATAACCCATTTGTGTCTCTTGCTACAAAAAAATAATAATTATACTATATGTTATTATAAGAAAAGCAAGAGAAATGTATACTCAATTGCTTGCAGCTCCATATATGAAATCAATCACTTTGATTAATGATTTATATTTCTATTGCTTCAACTCGTTTCATAATTATCAGGGATTTAAGCGGAAACAATCTTCGAGGAGAAATTCCTATATCAATTATCAACCTACAATTCATTACTGCTATGTGAGTTATTATATATTATATATATCTTAGACGTAATACATAAATGTGTCATTGAACTTGACTTCAACTGATATTTGTGCCTTCTAACTTTGGGTGTGTACAAGTAGACACTTAAACTTGTATAAAATTGAACAACATGCGTCCTACATGACATTTTATATGGCAACTCACATCCTACATAGCGTCCTACATGTAATATGTCACGTAAGACGCATGTGTCTACTAGTTCAATTTTATATAAGTTTAAGTGGTTACTTGCGCACATACAATTAAAGTTGAAAGATATAAATGATAATTACTGTCAAATTAAATGACATATTTATGTAATATGCCTATATTTTTATTTTATTTGATCCGGTTGGACTGGGGAAGATCGAAAAGCTCCCCATGATCACTTAATTTGTCCTTTTCAAACATGTTTATCACCATCTTAATTCTACTAATTGTAATTATAATTATAATAGTCTGCTCAGTGTCTTCTCTTACCAAATAATGATGTGGATTTACAGAGATCTTTCTGATAACTCCTTGAGTGGGCAGTTGCCACCTTTTCAGATGGAGTCTTTACAATTCTTGTAAGTTCAGTTTTGCTACTTTCATTTAATAATTTTTGTTACATAAATACACAACTGAGATATAATCTTGAGGTATATAGGATAAATTCCTTAGATGAGTATATTTTAATTAATAATTATTGATTTTAACAATACTTTTTATTTATTACCATTTATAGCAATACATAGTAATACTATGATAAATCCGCAATATGTATTAAAAGTGAATTATGTATGCAATATATATATATATATATATTATGATTGTTTTAAAATATATTATGCTTGTTTGGTAAGAAATTGACACATTATATTAAAATGTATGATAAATGTATTATCTATCAATAAAATTTGTATTATATGTGTTTTATAAATTATTCTCTGTAATATGTATTAAAACTATATTATAAAAGTATTAAAAGTGATCAAGTGAAAAAAAAAATGTTATTGCTATAAACGGTAAATATTTTCTTAATATAGTATATTTATATAAGTTTCCCAAAGAAAAAATAGGCTTTGAGGGTCAGTCATGAACAAATCTCTTTAGGATACAACAGACACACTGTATAGTGCAAAAACTGTGAAGACTCCATATCGATCTTTAAGGGATGGATGGTCTTTTATATGACTTAGGTAATTCTTATCTCCTGATTAATTTTTTGGGTTAAGCTAGACCCAACACCATTTATATAACAACCACCTTTTAAAAAGACCACAAATTAAATATGTGAAATGCATGTATTAACGAATTTGAATGCAATAGCATTAACTTATTCTTTGAAGACTGTTTTTTTGTTGTATGTTCCATTCTATAGCTTTGGCTACCACCTAAGATAGTGAGAAGAAATAGATTATCAAAGAGTGAAGTGTCAACAATACACTTAATTTTTTTTAAAAATGTTTCACACCTAAATTATTGAGAGGACCAGAGAGCACAAATAAATAGAGTAAAGTTTTTATACAGAATCAAGTTAGTAGTTGATTTGGACATGTGAAGAAGAGGTACGAGGATGCACCATTTAGGAGGTACCTCCAACACCGTATTAGATTGATATTATTGTATAATAATTTATTTAATCTAAAAGTAGAGTAAATATTTAACAATAATAATTCTAATGTCATTGATATTTTTTATTTGGTTAAATATATTTTAAAGAAAATATTCCTCGAAGTTTTCAAATAAAACAAGTTCTTAGATTAAAAAAAAAAAACTTCCAGTTAAATTATATTTAAAATAGTTCAAGTATGCATTCCTCAAAAAATCTACAATCAAATTCACAATAATAAAATCCCCAAGTAATTCTACAAGTAAAAAAATTCCTAAGTAAATCCTCAAGAAATAAATTCCCAACAAAATTCGTAGAAAATAAATCCCCAGATAATACCACATATAAAATTATTTCTAAATAATTTTTTAAGTAATTATTTCTAACTGGATCGGCAAATAAGTTTATTTGGGAATTTTCTTTCAAACAAATTAAAAAATAGTTTTTTTCATTACTTGCGAATTTATCTATGAAAATGGTACTTGCAAATTATTTGCCCCAAATAATTCCCCAGGTAATAATTTTGCGAAAATGGCGCCAAATTTACCTACCAATTTTTCTAGGGAAATATTTTTCACAGGTAAAAAAGGTCCAGAATTTAGGAAATTTTTAATTTCGCATGAAAATTCGTAGAAATAATCCCCAAATAAAATCTCCAGGTAATTTGCAGTTTTGTAGTAGTGGGTGTGAGACTTTAATAGTAGCAAGAGTTAAGAGAGATCAAAAAGAGAATTTAAGAGAAGTGAATAGATGTAAGCTTAGATAAGAAGGTAAAAAATTATGATGGAAAGTTAGTAAATAGTTATGCATTTATCACATCTAAAAGGCAATTTTATTCTTCAATGTGTTGTATTATTTGTTGCATCATCTGCTTTGTATGGTGATTTTTATGTCATAATAATGCTTTGAAGACCTGCTGGTTTATCTAAAACAATGCAGGTGTAGAGTAAGGTTTGCGTATATCATAGTCTCAGGGGTAGATCGAGGAGTCAATTGTTGCCTCCTTTACTTAGCAATCATGCTGGTTATTTGGAAGGAGAGAAATAATTATAGGGCTTTTGAAGGGGGTGGAACACGATTTTGTAAAATTGCAATGTAGTAGTAATCTATATGATAAATGATTTACTCCATTTCTATTGCTCTAACTTGGCATGGATGGATGCTTCAGGAATTTAGGCGGCAACAACCTTAATGGATCACTCCCTAAATCATTTCTCAACCTAACATCGCTTGAGGAACTGTGAGTGGTACTATGTCCTTTTTCAAATCTTAATTTTGCATACATCTGATCTCTCTTTGTTTGACTTGGAGGGAGTCTGCAATCTCTATTATCTTTTCTTACCAAAATAAAGTGTTATGTTCTACAGAGGGCTTTATGAAAACTTCTTCAGTGGAGACTTGTTGCCATTTCAGATGAACAACTTACAGATTCTGTGAGTAATTCGATCGCTACTTGATCAAAGCAATTTTTTATATATCATGAAATTGTTTCCACAAAATGTGGCTCATGTATGTCTGTAACCGGTAATTCCTTTAACAACCAAATCCCTCGTGAATTTGGTGCTCTCCAAAACTTAACTGCTTTGTAAGTATCATGATATATGCTTTCATTTTTGTTTTCTGTTACCTTCTACTTCTTTTGCACAAGTCAGGCTCACTATTGTATTATTTTTTTTCTATTTAGATCCTTATCCTTCAACTTACTAAATGGAAGCATTCCAGAAGAGCTGGGGATGTTGGAATGTATGCATCCACCTATCAGTCAAGGACCAGGTCCTTTGACTCAGCAAGAACAGTAACTAAAAATATGCGTCCACTTGTTTCGATGAGACCAGGTCTTCAGCACAGTTACAATAACAAACAATAAAATAAGTGCTGAAAGTAAAGATTGAACAAACAACTTTACGTGGAAACCTCCTTACTCAAGGGAGTAAAACCACGACCTGTCTCAACAAGACTTTTCAAACTGCTTCCACTAATCTTCTCCAAGCAAAAGTAAAGCCAGTTTACAAAATGAGATTTGCCTGCTAATCACCACACTAAGCAATACCTTCTATCACTTAGCTGAGCCAGAGCAGATACAACACTGCCCACTATACTAACCCTCACCGATTAATATAGACTTTTCTAAGCGGATACCACACCGCCCACTAAACCACCTAACTCTAGATGATTAGAATTTGACTAAGCAACACACAAGTTGTCCACTAAACCACCACCCTCTGGACGATTTAGACCTTTTAGAAAACGAAACAAAATATCTGAATCCTTTATAGAATAGGAACAGATTTACAATGTAAGCACATAAGACACAAAGCTCTAGATACAACAAGATGCTTTAGCACTCCATCTGGTCCCTTGCTAATATGAGCAGTGTTCTTCTTTGAAGATGACCTTCTCTTTTCAAGCTTGTGAATTTTCAGAGAAAATCCAAATTTTTGTTTGCCAAATCTTGAGTTTGTGTTTTGTTAGAAGAGACTATATTAAAATGAACACAAACTCCTTGGGACCGCCCAATGGCTGAAAGCCTGCTGTTCTGAAAAGTTGCTCACCTACCGCATCAGAGGTGGCAGCTTTTCTGACGGCTCTCTTGTCACCTTTTCATATCAAAGTCTTGTAGGGACCAGGTCCCTTGCAAACTTCTTTGTGGGTTCTTGAAAAGGCTTGCTGGCTGACTTCCTTCTTAGGATGAATGAATTTAATATAGTGTTTGTCATGTAGAAAATATCAACCATAAAGAGTTATTACCCGTTGGACAAACACCCTCGTCCATTTTGATTGGTGTAGTACACTGACGCCTCACCAACCTCTGACACGACAGTTTTACAACTGTACCCCATTATAGATCTGGACGAGAGAACTCTGCCTAGGACCAGGTCCCTGTGAGACACTGAAGCATACAATCTCGTCCGCTCTTCCTATTGGTGTATGACACTGCACTTTTCACCTACCACCTAACATGACAGCTTTACAGTTGTACTCCATTTGTATCTGGACGAAAGCACTTTGCCAGGGACCAAGTCCCTGCATTTATGAGGATTATCAAAACACCTAGAATATAACAGGGGAACATCTCCAATCTTGAGATTTTGTATGACGTACTATTGAGTAGAAAAATATTACACATCCTCTTTATCGCTCTTCTTCTTTCTATTCTCATTTTGATCTGTTCTGGTTTGAAATTTAATGTAGATATCTGGATGAGAATGAACTCTCAGGTGCCATCCCACAGCAGCTTGGGAATCTTACACAGCTACAGGAACTGTAAGTACAACAGTTTGATAATTTCAAGAATCTAGTCGATTATTTTCACATTGGTGCACTATATTGATAAATACATTTTTTTTTGGTTTCTTAACTCGGCATCAATCTCTGATATATAAGGGATCAAGTGCCACAGTCAAACCTTAATTATTTTCTGCCATAGCTATGCAGAAGATTGTGCATATTGCAATGCAATATTAGACACCAACAACTACCAATAGTAATTCTCATGCCATGCAAAAAATGAGATTGTTCTTTTTCATTTTTCCCTTTTTCTTCAACCTAAATCATCCTAGACATACATCTGTAGGACATATTTCGATACTATGGTTTGGCTAGTTTTTCAGGTAAAGTTAATATTTTAGGGTTTGTTTAGGTCTCTTTTGCTCTCAAGTGTACGCAAAAACAAGAACAAAAAAAGAAATTCAGCTTTGCATTTTGAGTCAATTTTTTTCTTTTTCAGAGAATGTTGTCAATATTGGAAAGGATTGGACTGACTTGTGTCAACACATCTAGTTCTGTGCATCCATCCACTTATGGCAATGTTCGACGAATCTTTGATATTTGTTAAATAAGGAATTATCCAACAAAATCTGAAATACAGTCCATAACAACAATTTTGAGCTAATAACACAACTTATCCCTAATGGTTTCCCCTAATGACAAGGTTGAGATACTTAATCCCAAATTCATGGGAATTGTAGAGTTATTAGTTGCACATGGATCCATTCATTCTGTTAACTACTTGTTAAGTATCGTAGTGCAAAATTTGTTTTTCCAACAAAATAACTTCAACCAAATTTCATACAAATAATGAAATACTCCCTCTGTCCCAATTTATGTAACTTACTTTCCTCTTTAGTCAGTCTCAAAAAGAATGACACATATCTATATTAAGTAACAATTTAGCTATAAAATGTCTATTTTACCCTTAATGAAATGATTTACAGCCACACAAATTTCTATCATTCATTTTGGACCACAAGTTTTAAAAGTCTTCCTTCCTTTCTTAAATTTCGTGCCGAGTCAAAGTACCTCACATAAAATAGGACGGATGGAGTATATAATATGAAGTTAAATAAATTTTGGAAACGAAATAAACTTAAAATCAACAAGATGAAAGGAAGAAGAGTCAAGTCATATGAATTCACAGAGTTTCCTTAAGGAAATTATTCTCCTCAAGTACCCGAGGTCATGGAATATATCCTCCCAGGATAAAATGACTCACGACAAACAAATAGTGGTACCTTAAATTTGTTGTCCAGCGAATCACTCAATGGCTTGTAATCACACTTGAAGATTTTGGAAAAGCAAATACTTTTTTTTTTCTTACTATGTAGTGTTTTTCTTTTTGTAGACTTTGTTTCAAAACTTATCTCAAAAAACTTATGTCAATATCTGAGAAAGAATCATATATTTATAGCCTATAGGTGAGCATAATGATTCATGCATGATATGTGAAAAGGTAGCCTAGAAATATGAAAGGTTGCATCATGGTTGCATTGATCATCTTTCATTAGTATTCATGAATGGAATAAGTTCATTCATACTTGCAGCACTTTCACATTTTTAATACACCATTCTTTATTCTATGTACCATTATCCATTCACACATTATACAATGAACCCAACACATTCATGACTATATCATATGGCAGAAAATAAATGATATTTATGATCTGAACTGTATGGAAAAAGAAAAGAAACGAAAACTGCAATATTGTATATCCTTCCTTCGAATTGTCAAAGTAGCTAGCAAATGATTTCAGGGACCTACGCGCCAATTATTTCGTTGGTGAATTGCCTCCAAGCTTCATGAAGTTGGTGAACTTAGAAAAGTTGTAAGTGCATGTTGACTCTGATTTTCTTTGGATTGCACCATTTAATCAACTTGTCAATTGCAACCACCCTCTCTTTATGTTTTTTGTTCTTATTTTATGTTGTAGTTGGGCTCAAGGGAATAGCTTGACTGGGAAATTTCCAACATTTATAGCCAATTGGACGCAACTCGATACGTTGTAAGCCCAATTATGTGAAAGCAATATTATAATAAGGATGGTTTAATTTAGTTATCAATTTAACTTCTTTTCCTTGTAGGGATCTGTTAGGAAATAATTTTGAAGGCCCCTGGCCAAAGGAAATCTCATCATTGGAAAGTCTCGTTTACCTGTAAGATTTTTGTTTTGAAGATCGTTATTTGTAGTAGCTAGTATGTGAATTTTGAAATTTTTGGCTGATATTTTCTCCCAATTTTATAATCCTAGAGCACTCAGCAATGTAGTCACAAGAGGAAGTGCATATGATTTTCCCGATCTATCGCGTATGACTTCATTGCAAGACTTGTAGGCTTGATATCCTTTTAACTCCTTTTGAATTAAACGATTGTTTCTCAGTGTCATGTGATACTGACATACAAATATACTACTCATGATGTTGATTCCAGGACATTGAGGAAATGTTCACTTCGTGGTCCCATTCCGGGATATATGTGGGAGCTTAAAAAATTACAGAATCTGTAAGATGATATTCTGTCAATTTTCTTCTAACCAATTTCATTTCCCCTTATCTTTGGTGTCTGTGTTTCTCTTTTTCTGTGTGGCAACTGTATTATGTTGTAAATGTAGAAGTTGCATCTTGATCATTTAGTGAAAAACTACCTTATTTTAGTCCACACTTTTTACCCTTTTATATCTCAATTTGTTAGAACAAATATTTATACCTTATAAGGCGTAGAAAAATCATTTGGTAAGGTGTTGAAAACATTTTCCACGGAGGATATGCTAATTATATAATGTATAGGATTAGAGCCGTCAAAATGGGCTTGGCCCGCGAGGCCGACCCAACCCAACCCTTGAATTAAGTGGGGTTGGGTTTAATTTTTTTGGCCCATTTAGGAACGAGGCTTTTTAGCCCAGCCTCGTTTGGCCCGTAGCCTCGTAGGGCCAACCCGCAAGCCTCAGAGGCCAGCCCATGGGCTATTAATTTTTTAAAATATTTTTTATATATATATTTAGTAGTGTTTTATTTGTAAAGATTTTATCAATAAATATTTTTAAAATATCAATATAAAATCAAGACTATATTTTTTACATATCTTTTACATTTTAGGGTCATTAGCCCACTAAATTTTCTTATTAGCCCAAGTTCATTGCTCCATTATAACTATGAATCTTTGACGTCCTTTACTTTTGTTTTTATGCCTAATTTTTTTCACTTCTCCTTTATTGTCTTGTTTATGAAAATAATGATAATGTAATGTTTTTTTGCTCGGATGAATCTTATGAATGTTGTATCTTGGCTATTATGTATTTGTTTTGTAAATATTCACTGAAGTATGTGTAATTCATGAATGAATTTATGTATGTATTGATGTCGTGTCCATCGGACATCGACATTCGTATCCTTTCTAAGAGGAGAAGTTGTCCGTTTTTTTATTGAAGGGCCAACCCGTCCCAACCCGTGGCCCGCTTAGGGCTGGGTTGGGCTGCTATTTTATAGGCCCTTTAATTAAAAGGGCCAGCCCGTCCCAACCCATTTAACTCTGTAGCCCGTTAGAGTTGGGTTGGGTTGGGTTGGGCCAGCCCATTTTGACAGCTCTATATAGGATATGACATATAATGAACAACAGAGAAGTGTGAATTGAAACAAGTGAAAAGAATACTACTCCTACTAGTCATTTACCCTGTTTTGGTCATTAATACAGAACATTGTATCTAGCTGATATTGTATATAGGTACATTTATAGGCTAAGGTTTTGTTAAATTTTATCAGCCTTAGTTAGAAAGCTCTTATCGTGTAGCTACCACTTATTGTCTGAGTAATGTGGATTATGAAATCCCTCCAATACTTGTTCATAGAAAACATTTCCTTGGATTTTTATTTTATAGAAATTTACAGTAACATAACACTGAAAATCACTTTCTTGAGGAAAACATTTTTTATGTAGCTTGTAGATAAAGACATGATTGGATGATTACATCTTTCTCTTTTCTCTGATATAGGGACTTGAGCTTCAACGAGTTATCTGGACAACTGCCAAATTCCATTAGCACATCTTTAACATCTATGTGCGTTCTCTATCTCTTCTTTGCATGAATGTTGTGTTTTCGAGTGTGTATGTGATTTACTTGCTATATATGATGTTACTCTATATATGATGCACATAGAAAGTTGTCTCTCTTTCTGTTCAATATAAATTCTGTGTCTTGTCTTTCTTCTTCTAAAGGCCCAACTGAATAAGGCATCCTTTACTGTCCTCAACATATATAGGCCCAACTGAATAAGGCATCCTTTAATAGGTTTATGTAATAGGTTGGTTGAGTGACTTTACAAGTGAAATGACAACAATTGAGTGAATTTTCTATTACAAATCTAAGTTGAGTGACTTTCAGATAAAAATTGCTAGTTGAGTGACCGTATGAGAAATTAACTTGCATTGAAGCAGTAGTATTTTCCTTCTCCTGCCCTTGTAGTTGAGCCTTTTCTTTTTTGTTGCGGAACAGTGGTTATCTGTTCTTGTGAATACCCAACCTCATGCTCCACTTGTCGAGCGTGGCCTTTGTTGCTGTTCCCCCCCGAGTAGTGTCTTGCTTCCCATCAACTTTTGCTTTTGAAGCTACTTTTTCCCTATAGTGAGATTGCTTGAGCTAGGGTTTCCAGTGAGATCTCTGTGGAGTAAGAACCTTTGTTAATAGGCTAACAATAGGTTCTACCAGCTGTCGATTCTCCATTGGGGAGGTCCTTGACTCAGTGATATGGCCGGGTATCCGGCTTCATGAAGGAGGTGCATTAGAACACGCTTAGACCGTTAGAAGAAGACCATTGGGAGAGAGTTTTTATTATGCTTTTGTGCAGTATCTGCCAGTCTTGTATTATGCAACATATGCAGAACAGGTAATTAGAGTATTCACCATAATTATGTACTATCCACTGTACATCACTTGATAACATTGAATTTTCTTCACTCCACTTGTGGACGTTGGTCTAACTGATTCAACTGTGTAAATCATGTTCTCCCATTCCATTGTTTTATGTTGTTAGTACTGGCTTATTTTTTCCATTTTTCTCAATATTCAAAGCTTGGCCTAACAGGTGGGGGGATAACTGATTTTCTAGTTTTATGCCTTTAACATTGTCACATTGCTGCAGATTCCTCAGGGAGAACAAGCTTAATGGATTATTGCCAGGATGGCTAACTAAGAGGAAGAATGTAAAACCACATCGATACGTGTAAGTGGAAATATTCATAAAGAGTGTGTTGGTGCCACAACAAATGAAGAAAAATTGCTTTTGAAACTTCCTTCAATATCATAAACCTATTACATTCATAAATTATATATCAGTGTGAAATTTAACATGCTAACCAAAACACTACATTAGTTATTCAGAGACTTTCATTCCTTTGCGGTCAAACAAACATTTGCATTAACTATACAAAAAAAATATTTTATGCAGCCATCGACCAACTTTGTATTGCTTATTTGAATTTTATGCAAAGATTATCATTTTACCTATATGATCAAGCAAACGAACCCTAAGAGAATAACCTAACAAAAACACACACAGAGACTCGTACACATGTTTCTTCAACACTTCTTATCCACAAAGGTCCCCATTTTGTGTCAATTTGTAGTACGTCTTCTTCAAGTAAAGGAAAACTTTTTGTGGAGGTCAAATATGGTAGATATAATTCCGTCAACTGCTACTTATTGCTTGTGATCTTTGTCATTTGTTTTTCAAGCAACATTGGAAAGAGAGCTTATTTTTTTCCATAAATTGTTTTGCAGGGATGTTTCTGAAAACTTGTTTGAAATTAAAACCTTAGAGTTCAATGCTTCATTTGATGATCCGGACGTGTAAAATTCACTACACTTGTTCTCTACTTTAGATGTTAAATACTAGTATCTTTCTTTAGCTAGCCTTACAAAACAGTATATTATTATACGGCCTTTCCATTTCAGGAACACTTTTCCGGGCTGCTCAAGTAATTTGTGAGTGCTAATTTCATTTATTATTTGTATCTTTTCTTTTCTTCCTAGAGACTACTGTTGCATTCTGATCGTATGTTTATATATGTAGGCCATACACAAAAGATAAATGTGACCATTATTGCCATAATAATCTAAAATGTAAGTTATTTTTTACCAAGCTGTAGTATTCGTAATGTTTTCTTGGCTTCTGCTTATTTGCCAAAATTTAAATGGCAAAATCAATATTTTTTGTTGTAGAACAATGATTAAGGAACAAACGTGTGTTGCACGTTCTCAGAAACTAGTATATATATAAACACAAGTATCTCGTATCAAAAGTTGTCTCAATTAAAAGGAATGACAGTACTTTTCTCTCACACAGATGATGAATTGTTTATCAACTGTGGTGGCAAGGAAGTTACTGTAAATGGCAATCACTACTCTGCTGATCAGAACCCCAATGGATCATCAACGTTTTCTCGCAATGAAACAGGAGGTTGGGGTTATAGTAGCATGGGTCTTACCAAGAGTTTGGATAATCGACCTGAATCATTAATAATCAAGGATACATGTAATCTTTCCAATACTGCAGCACTTCTGGTTGAAACAGCCCGTGTAGCCCTGATCTCTCTCAAGTACTATGGATTTTGTTTCTCCAATGGAAACTACACAGTCCAACTATATTTTGCTGAGATAGGCTCAAGTAAAAAACAAGCCTATCCCATCACACCTAAACGAGTTTTTGATATTGACATCCAGGTATTATCTAGGAATGACGCAAGTCATTTTCTATATATTAAGTTTTCCATGAGGAAGTCATATCTAGAAAAATATTTTCCGAGATCAATTTATGGTGTTAGGTTAAATAACCAAAATGAAAAATTTATGGAGTTTGGTTACTAAAAAGGGCTTAGTTATCAAGAAAAACAAACATTTTCCATCAAAAGATAGAAAAAGACTTCCTTCACTTGTGGATGGAAATCATTTTCCTTATATAACTTTCTCAATTTTTACTTGCTTCAAGTAACACTTAGATATCATTATTAAAAAAAAAATTTACTCAAAGTTGCGTCAAAACACTCCCCTATATATTATCATTGATCTATAAAGAGTGTTCGGTGTGGCAATTTTCCATTGAAAATAATTTCCTGAAAAATGCTTTTTGAAAAAAAAAGAAAGAAATTATATACAAAAATTGATTGAAACAGTAACAAATGGGAGAGTGTTTTGATGAAAATTTCGAGTACTAAAGATTAATTAGGATGTGTAACTTTTTGGAGCCAGTAATATTAAGTTAAAAAGTTCTATAGAAAATTGACTTCTGTCCATAAGTGAGGGAAGTCCTATTTCTCATTTTGAAGGGAAATGTTTTCTACCTTCTGGTAACCAAACAACAGAATCCGTCATATCAAACACACCCTTAACATGTATATATTTTCCACTACAACCAAACACCATAAACTATTTTTTCCAGAAAAATATTTGTCATGGAGAACGACTTCTGTTATACCAAATAGAATTGTAAAGGTATCATCTTTGTAGTTCTTCTTTGAAAAGCTGTCATTGTAGGGGGAGAATGTACGGAAGAACTACAATATAGAAGCAGAAAAAGAGAATGATGATGGGGATAAAATGGTGGCACATAATACTTCTATAAAATCCTATCTTGAAATTCACTTGTACTGGTCTGGTAATGGCTCGGCCAACTACGGTCCCCTCATTTCAGCTATTTCTGTAACCAAAGGTATGCTTTCTTTATCTGGTGTACTGTTAGTCATATTCTTCAGTGTCCTTTCTAAGACAACAATACTTTGATGGTAGTTCGTGTACAACTACCACCAAGACACCATCCGAAACTGACTCCTGCGCTTAAGGCTGTGATAGCAGTATCATCACTGTTTTTTCTTGCTCTACTTTTGCTTTTACTAAGGAAATTGGGTTATCTTGGTGGAAAAAGATCATCAAAGGAAGGTTAGACGCAGTTATATATGGAGTTTGGTTTGGTTATTATTACAATATAAATTTGTATAACTCACTAAAATAAAATTCTGTTTGCTTCTTTTGTGAAATGCCAACACATATCAAAAGAACTAAAAGCAACTGAATTGTTCCCGGGAGGAGTTTACACCTTTCGTCAAATAAAAGATGCCACTCAGAACTTCAATGTTGTGAACAAATTAGGTGAAGGAGGTTTTGGACCTGTTTATAAGGTTAGTTTTTGTTGGATTTTTAGCATTCTGTTTATTCATCATATCATTCCCATGACCCTGGATTGAGCTGCTGCTTATGTAAGCATATAGTTACGGCCTTGGTGCTTTTTTTCCTGAAGGGATTTTATGTACTTTATCTGTCACTGCTGCACATATAACATATGAAGTGCCCCTTATCATGTTCACGTTTTCGCGCCAATTCTAAATAATGGGGGGTGTCTCTCATCAATACAGGGCATGCTCCCTGATGGGACTACAATTGCAGTTAAACAGCTATCAGGAAAATCAAAGCAAGGAATACGTGAGTTTGTAAATGAAATTGGCACGATTTCAGCTCTGCAACATCCGAATCTTGTGAAGTTAATGGGATGTTGTGCAGAAGACAACGAGCTCCTACTCATTTACGAATACATGGAAAATAATTCTCTTGACCATGCATTATTCGGTAATGATAGCAAGGCTCATATGTTTTGACAAAAAATTCTGAAGTAGTTAATAAAATAGTATGAAATTGCTTTTGCAGGTCCAGAGGAAATTAAATCGAGACTAAATTGGTCGACGAGGGTCAAAATTATCCTCGGGATAGCCAAAGGATTAACTTATTTGCACGAAGAGTCCAAATTGAAGATTATCCACAGGGACATTAAGCCCACAAACATACTCTTGGACAAGGAGTTGAATGCAAAAATAACTGATTTTGGATACGCAAAGCTTAATGAAGGGGAAAATACTCATGTCATCACACGAATTGCTGGAACAACGTAATTTGATAATCCTGCTAATCCTCCTCCACCCTGTTACCTTAAAGCTTATGCTATACATATATTTTCTTTCGGATAAGTGTATTTTTTCTCTCATTGGAAGTTCTTTTATAGGGGATATATGGCACCAGAATATGCAATGCGCGGCTACTTAACATCAAAAGCAGACGTTTACAGCTTTGGGGTTGTTACACTTGAAATTGTGAGCGGGAGAAACAGTGCTAGTTGCAGGCCAAGTGATCAGACAGTTTACCTTCTTGATTCGGTAAAGCCTCAAACAAGAAGTTTTCAATTTCATTCATTGATGCACATGCCTAATAAACAGTTGCCATTGTCATTTTACTTGAATAATGAGTTTGCTAATTTGATCGACGTCTGCTGGTTCGATTGCAGGCTTACGTGTTGCAAGAGCAGGGAAATTTGATGGATCTAGTTGATCCAAAACTTGGAACAGATTATTCTTGGACAGAAGCTAATTCCATTCTGGAATTAGCAATGATGTGCACTAATCCATCACCAACTCTCAGGCCAACCATGTCTGAGGTAGTGAAAGTTATTGAAGGAAAAACTAAAATCAAGACCACATCTTCAACAGTCCGGCGTTCAACAGACGAGATTGCATTGACTAAGGCCATGGCTGCACTCTCTCAGCCTTCTCCATCTGAAAGCTATTCTACAGCCGGGCCATCAGAAGCTACTCCTCCCTTATCTGACAGCAATAATATTACCAATGAAATTTGAATCCAACATCTCCCATTTCTGAGATGATTACTCTACTTAGACAATGAAAATCAAGGAGGCAATAATGCTTCGGTAGTATGAGTTTTCTCTTGTTTTGAAACTATTGGTCTGGCATATATATCAGTATAAGATTTTCATTTTAGTAACCGTGTACATTGTCGATGATTGTTTTCTGTTCTACCACTGAATTCATTGAGGCTTTGGACCTAGAAGTAGCCTTATTGTCCTCATCTCATTTTTTATGCGTGATGACAAATTGGTTGCAAATTTAAATTCCTTATTTATATGCGCATTACTTTCTTCTTCAGGAACAAGTCGCGCGACTGTTTTCTGCTTTGCAAATTAGGAGTAAGCTGAAGATGACGAGCACAAAAGAAAGAAGTATAGTAATGTGAGGATGACATCATCTTCACTAACACGCAAAAAAATTAGTTAGAAGTGAGCATACATACATAATGATGATTTATCGAATATATAGATCGAGGAATGAATGAGATACATATATATACAATACGATATTATTAGAGAGTTTCTGAGAATGTGTGTGTGAGACATGTTGAAAAGGACATCAAATAATAGTACTGCAACCAGAAAGAAGAAATGACACGTCATAGTACAATGCGAGTTTGTTTTGCTCCACGCTGTGCGTTGGATCATCCAATCAAAGATTATGAATCAAACTTCAGTAAGCAGGGAGTAGCCTACGTAGATGTGGCCGGGTTAAATGGTTGGAACCTTAATCACAAATTCATAAAATTTAAATTCTAAATTTACCACTCTATTAGGGCCATCTTAACCACTAGGCCACTAAAGCTATCGCTTGAGTTGGGGCCTCCATTTAAAAAAAAAAAAAAGTACTTATACATATTATTAAAAAAATTATATTGTTTTTTTTAAAAAAAAAAAAAATGTGTAAGAAGTTCTATAGTTTTTCTTGAAAAATTGCTATTGTTGATATTCTTAGTTCATAAGTATATGTAAATTATTTTAATTACTATCAAATTTTGATCAATTTAAATATGTCAACTAAAAAACATGATTCCAATTTTACAAAAAGAGAGAAAACTTGAAGAATTAAATAAATCTTTAAAAAGAGCCCTTGATAGATTTTTAACAAATACTCTAATAAAAATTTCGAATAAAATAATATTGGAGGATGTTCTTCAAATGAACAAGTCACCAATAGAATTGAGTTAGATAATAATTAACATCCAAGAACAAAATCTAGAAGAAGTTGGTGACAATGTGACATTGTTCCCGATATCAAGAACTCCTAAATAATTTAAATAGTTGCATCCCTAAAAATATATACGGTCCAAGTCAATGGATTAATGTAGATACAAAATTGAGAGATCTATTAGTAGAAAAGGGACCATTTAGAATGACTGATATAAATATTGCACTAGATAAATACGTACGACATTTTTCTACAACACACTATTTTCAAAAACTGGTAAACGGAGAAAAGCATGAAAGAAAATATTAGTCTACTCTAAAGAGTAAGTATTTGGATAATATTTTTATTTTTGTTGTAAATTATTTAACACAACTTCTATTATTTGTAACAGTAAACTAGCTAGTCAAGGTAGTAATGAGTGGATAATTAAGCCTAAAGTCCATGAAGTAAAGAATTGACATATTATTAATAATATGAGCTCGTGTATTGATTTAGAAATGAGATTACATTAAAAGAAAAACAATTGATAAAGTTGTGCAGGAACAAATAGATAGAGATAAAGTGCAATTGAAAAATGTGTTGTCAAAGAATTATTGAAGTGATCAAAACTCTTGGGAAAAATGATTTACCATTTAGGGAAAAAAATGGAAAGATCTATCAAGAAAGTAACGGTAATTTTTAAAGCCTAATTGAAATGATTAATAAATTTGATTCAGTTATGCAAGAACATATTCGAAGAATAAGCATGACAAAATTCATAGTCATTGTGACTTATTAAACTTATTGGCAAGTCAAGAAAAAGTTATTAAAGAGATTAAAAAAACAAAATACTTCTCAAAATATTAGGGACTCTCTTTAAGATTTAGCTTTAGGTCCCTGATCTTGTTGAGTCGACCCTGCTCTCCCTAGTAAGAAAAGGTAGATTTTTGTGATAAAAAAAAGTTTAGCGTGCTATCTACACAGCTACACAGTGCAAAATGATGATGTGGTGACGATATGTCATTTCCGACATCATAATTTTGACTTTCTGATCATTTGTATTTTCTAAGCAGCTAACACTATATAGCTTAGCCACTTTATTGTTACAAAATTTAGTTTTGTGATTTTACTATTGTAAAGATATAACATTTGAGTCTAACTCAATTTCAAAGTTAGTTCATGAGAGGAGAATTGAACAAGTTCATATAAACACAGATCAATCAATGTAGAACTTTAACCTACTCTAATAATTGTTATTAAAAAATTAAGCACTCCTAAATAAAGAAAAAAATATTTTTGTTAGTTTACTCTTAATTAAATATCTTTGAAAAAGAAATAGTTATCTCCACCTATTTGTCTTTACCTCACTCATAAGGATAAAATTTTATTTTATATCTCAAAGGTGGCTAAACTTTTAGAGTAAGTTTATACATGTACATCAGAATTCACAAGCCAAATGACCTATTGGAATAATTGAATTTGAGCAGCTAATTTGCAGAATAAAATGAGGAGACTATTGCCTCATTCAAATACTTTATTTAGAGTAGACGAAATTAGTCATAAAATCACTATCCGTTCGACACATTTAAGCATAACTTTTTTATTTTTAATACCATGACTATTATTTGCAAAGAATGAATCTCAAGTTGTGTGAATAACATAAGAGGCGCCACGTGTCAATAAAGATCTCCACGTCATCCATTTTAAAATTATTTTGATATTCATATTTTTGTTTTCATCCCAAAAACGACCGTTACAAATACAAAACTCTGTTCTTCACTACCGACTATTCTCACACACACGCTCTTCTCAAGGTGATGAAGATGAAGATGGGTCTTTCTCTCTTCTGTAGAACCTTCAATTTCTCTAAATGGTGAATTTCCCAATTCCACTCTCAATTTTACTTCTTCTTGGATACAAGAAATCAAGTTATTTTGTGTGTGTATGCAGCAGACAATGGCGAAGATGACGGTGGCGAGAATAAAATTGCTAAGAAACAAGAGGGAGGTGGTTGTTAGGCAAATGAGGCTTTGGTATGCTTCTTGAATCCCGTCCGGATGCCACTGCTCGTATTCAGGTACTTTTTCCTCTGACTTAGGGTTGGGGGTTAGTTGATTGATGATTTGAATAATTTATCTATAACCTCGAAATCAACTCGTAGGAATGGGGAATTTGGTATATCTTTCCTGGTGGTTTATGGATCATTTAGCTTGAAACATAGAATTTTGCTTTCCTTCAAGATTATAGCTTGCAATTGTTGGGTTTAGCAAGGTATGAATGGGAAATGAAAAGAGAAAATGGAAAGTGGAAGAACCAATGAAAATGGGGGAACCAATTTTGGAGGGAAAATGAAAAGTCATTGCAAAAGTGCAAATGAATAGTCATTTTTACCATATCGGTAGAAGAGAGGAAATTGTTGTCCTTATATTAGGAAACACTTCCTTTACTTCTTAAAGGGTTAAGAAGAAGGTGCCCCCTCGCGCCGTCGTCGCTCGCTCGGCCTCGGCTTCGGCTTCGGCTTCGGCTTCGGCTT